TCTTCCACGATGTTACCAGAGATGGAGCTAGAATTTTCTTTTAGTGGGGGCAACCTGAAAATGAATTAAAAAAACCTTAGTATAGTATGACTTATAACCAATATGAAAATAGGGATGATTTCAAATGATAATGTATCACAATTCTAATGTTACAAAAATTTCAGTGTAGTAGTGAAAAGCGGCAAAGTGATAAGAAAAATATTAACACATAATTACGCAAGAGTGAGGTTTTTCGGTTTGAATGACAGAACAAGAGCACTTTTGCTCATATAATATTTGATATGGAGTATGCAGTATGAAAGTATGTTGGATACTAGGAACATATATTTTCTTCAAAAATAATACGTGCGTATTATATAATTGTAATCTGCAACTTAACAAACAAATCACTTAAGTGGGGTCATATGCCCTCAGTGAGCCTTCGTTGGCTCCGTCCTTAAATGTTACCAATTAAGGATCCATTGGCAAGGACATTGCACAATGCAGTGACAATCTGGAGTGCATCACTCTTAATAATGATGTCTTGATAGCCCCTCTTATTCGCCAGTAATAATTCAGTGTGTGTAAACGTGTGTGTGTGTATCAAAATCCATATTGAGGGTTGAAGAGCCCCTCCCTGTTCTGAATAGTTCTTCAAGTTTTACATTAAAATCCATTCCTTCAACTATAACCAGGATCAAATTTCCACCAACGGAGGCAATGACACACACACACACACACACACATATATATATATATCCTGGAAGTCACATTGATTAAAGAGTTTTGTGGATTGATGTCAAGTTTCTTGTCCTTCAAGAAAAGAACCATGCTACGTACGTGAAACATCGTCTTGATTCAAGAAGGGTTTCTTCTATCAGCTTTTGTTTTTTATTTACGTGGGGGGAAGACGACACTCATAGTTCTTCAAGTTTGAGGATGTATTACCACTTATTAATCTTCACAGGAAAAGGGAAATTTTAAAGTTCAGATTCTGATCTTTTATTGTAGTCGGCGTAAAAAGTTGTTTATACATATTGCTTACACTAATTTTGTTGGAAAATATTAGTATTTAGGTTTATTTTAGTATTTGGGTTTTGCTTGTTAGTGTAGGATTTGGGCATAACCCATCCGAGTTAGGATTTCTTAGGTTTGATTCTCTATAAATAGAGCTTGTAATTTAGTTTGAGAAATAAATCATTCATAATGTAGCCTCTTGGGATTCTGTAGCCGTTTCGGCATTCTCATTTGTTTAATAATATTCATTTTATTTTGTAATTTTGTTCGTTGCGCACTTTGATATTCAACTAATTTGACTTACAATTTTCCGCGACGGGTTTTTATATTTTGCATCCCGGAATGCCAACATTAATATAAAGTTCAATCTCAAATTCAGTTTCCTTAGAAAATGTTATGTGCCCCAAGTCTTCTCTTACAGTCTAAACCAAATACAATATGCAACTTGACACATTGTTTTTTTCATTGTATTACACACCGATTGCACTAATTAAATACACATTATATTGGTTTACGCATCGTGCTTTGACTCATGCAATCGTAAAGCTTCAAAATATATAGAGATTTACAGCTACTCTAACTTCAAGGCTTCTTCTTCGGACCTTAACTTGGAGGACTCTTGTTCTGTATCAACCGATGACAAGTCTGTGAGCAGGCCGACTGCAGCCTCGTCTGCACCTTCTTCATGCAAGTGTGAAACCGCGGAATGGCCATCCGGACAGTGAATGGGAGTCTCAGCAGGTTGTTCTCCATCGAAACGCACCCACTTTCTATCCTTTGCTTGAACTAAAAGAAGGTACAACAAAACCCCAAAGATAATTACAGCACCACTTACAAAGAAAGTCTTCAGAGAAGCCAAGCACATAACAAGAACAAGTAACAATGCAGGGGGCAGGCAAAGCATTGTTGCTCCGAATGTTTCGAAGGGAACTTTGTACGGTCTATGAAGGTCTGGCTTCTTCACTCTCAGTTTAATAAAAGCTGCGAACTCCAGAAGCATTCCTATGGCGTATAAGAAATTAAGAAATTCCAAGATTTCTTGAAAGCTCATCCACGACAAGAAGATAACTCCGGTAGCAGAGCACAAAATGCTAATGGTAGGTGTTCCATACTTTGACCTACAAGATAAGAGTTAAAGAAAACAATCAGCTCAGCGCTCATCCACTGTGCATCCAACTAAATTTGTAAGTAAAAGGTCGTTTTCTTTACAGAAGGATCCTTCAAAACAGGAGGTTGCAATTGTGATGTTCGAAAACAGCGGATTGGCTAAAACTGAACCAGTGAAGGGAGCGAAAGTGTACGAAAATGCAAACCTTGAAGCAAATATCGCAGGAAGCATTCCCATCTCACTCATCCCAAGAAGTTGAAAAGCATCACTACTCATTTCTGCTTCAAACAACCCCATGTTAGACATTGCAGCAGCGGCTTGAATCCACCACTTAAGCCAGACGCCACCTATCAACATCCCAACTTGTGCAAAATACCCATCAGTCCACTCACTAGATGCAGAGTTTAAAGCTCCAGTTCCGGCAAGAAGCGGAATCAAATACGAAGAAACAACCACAACTACAGCCCCAAGAAGCGCCTTCGGAAAAGTCTTGCTGGGATTTTCAACCTCCCCTGCAAGTGTACTTGCCTTATCCCAATAATTCAGATTCCAAAACATGCTATTGAAGTATCCCCTCCATTCCACTTTCTTAAAATCTACAACTAGCCACTGCTTAACCCTTATCCTAGGAATTGAGATAATCGCCATTACAACAAATGGGCAAAGGGAGAAAACTGCAAGGGAAACTGCAGAGAACCCGACAATATGCAATCCGCGGTAATTCAAGTAAGTCAATGAGAAAGTTATTCCTAAAAGAGCTGGAATTCGAGCAACCATCAGGTTAAAAATAGGAAACGAATGCTTCAAGTAATCGAGGAACAGGACAGGGTAAAGAGCATTGTCCATAACCCCACTAAACCATTTCCAGAAACCCTCCTGGAAACCCCAGAAAGGCCCAAAAGCTGCTGATATCCAAAGCACATATCCGCCATTTTCCGGGAAGCTTGTGGCCAGCTCAGCCGTCACTAAAGCTTCTGGGATGCTCCAAATCAAAGGAAACACTAAGAAACCAAGCAGAGACAGAAGAGGGCCGCCACCGGCCCTGACGGAATCCTCCACTCCAAAAGGACCGCCAGAAACCTCATAGAAAATTAAAGCTATGAGAGGCAACAGGGTCAGCTTTGGACTTGTTTTTGCAGGTGCGTTCTTGGATTCACTGACCATTATTCCCTCTTCCGCCATCCACATACAGCAGAGGGAAATATACTTGAACTCACCCAATCTCAAACCACTTTAATTGATTCAATGAGCTGGGTTTTGCCTACAATTTGGATCTGATTACAATTCTACCAAAACCCATAACTAAAAACAATCAGATAAAGAAGTTGGATTTGATTTTTCTCAGGAAAAAGTACCTGTATTGAAGGATTTTCCAATCTGGGTTTTGCATGCTTTTCACAGGAGAGGTTTCGGATCCGTATATCCTCTTCTGTTCTGCTTCTGGGAAATCAACCATGGCAGATTGGAGTCATGATGAAAATATGGTCCTTGATTTGGGAAATAGATCATCTCCGGATATTTTGCTTCAAAGCGCACGGATCAAATGATCCGGTCTTTAAAATTTAATTCAACAGTTAAAAAATAAAAAAATTATAATAATTTTTTATCGTTAGATTAAATTTTAAAAATTCAGATTATTTGTAAATTTTAAAGAAAGATATCTGAAAATAATGGCGAAGTCAATGTTTGACTTTGGATGCGTTGCATGCGGTACGAGAGCTAAAGGGTGGGTCCCTGGCTCCAAACGCCATTGTCTAGGATTGCGTAAAGAATATGGCAAGGGAGGGAAGATACGGTGCGTGACGATGAGTGATGAACATTTGGTGTTTGGCTCCAAACGTGAGTGGAAAAGGATCCTCGCCTGATCTTTTTCCTAGAAATTCTAGAGATTTCGTGATCTTTTTTATCGTATATTGTGTAATTAGTTTTTATTATATTATTTATATTTAATTTTAAATTTTAAATTTTGAAATAATTTCTGATCGCATGATATACGATGAACGGGTGAGATCACGGAATCCCTAGGATCCTTAGGAAAAGATCCGGCGAGGATCCTTTCCCAACGTGAGTTATGTTGATGTTTTGTTGGGCCCTCTTAAGCGAGAGATTTTTTAGTATGATCGGCACACGAAATAGTACATCACATGTTATTATACAAATGGTGAGATTTGTGTGTTAAAAAATAAAATTTCTTATCACTTATATAAAAGTACGTGGTGTATCACTCGTGTTTCCGTCACACTGAAAAAATTTCTCCTCCAAAACGAAGAGGCATAGACCCCAAAGAAAGAGAAGACCTACATGACATGATCACATGATCATGGTAGCGTTTTGTATTAATAACATAAATATATGTGTATTTTATTAGTAGAAATGTCACGTAGTGGTGTACTCGTTCAATATAAGTTATTTTAACAAAATAGCATAATTAGAATGTGAATGTATCAATTTCATTACCACCTTCACCAATTAGCACTACGTTTTATTTTCATCTTTACTTGTGAGTAGAAGTTTTATATTTAATTCATGATACTTTAACATTTGAATTGAGTTCGATATTTGATACAAATTAACTACCCTATGCGGTTTGACTCTTCTACATCATCATAACTTTTATATTTTTGGTCAACAAATAAACAAACATCTTATATTTCAACAATATTGACACACATATGCTCAATTTTTTTTTAACTTTCATTGTTCAAGAAAGAAATACAAATGGCTATCCAATTTGAGTTGATTTAGCACTCAAACTAATAATGTAGTTGAACGAAATAATTGTTGTTATTATCAATTCGTTTAGTCATTTTCTCATAAGTAGCAGTACTAAGCGCGTTAATTAAGTTTTTACATCGATTATATGGGAAAACAAAAACCTACCATATGGTTTGTATAAATTCGCAACTCCAATATCGTTGTATTTAGAAGAAAAATAAGGTTGGCGAAAAAAAAAAAAAAAAAAAAAGGAACCCACCAAAAAAGAGCTGAAAGAAAAAGCCTACAAACAATAAGACCAACCTTATTTCCCGCCAAACATTGCCATGTCTGTGAAGATGTCGGAGCATCCATTCCATGCCCTGTTTCAAACTTTTTCAAAAGTCTCCAATTCGATTCAAACCCAACTCTATAATCTCATAGCCCAACCTCACAAGCCATCACCCAACGCCCAAAAAAGCCTTCTCTCCACCTCTTCCTCCTCCTCCTCCAGAGTGGTAGCCTGGTCAGACAATGGCTCCGCCGATCATCCCGAAGCCAAAGACATCCTCAGCACGAAAAAGGTAATCTTGGTCGTTGGTATCCGGTACGCTCACTGATTTTGCAGCGTTTTGATTCTTAAAGACGCAGCCTTTATTGGGTTTCCTTGTTTGTGATCTTTGCTAGAGAGATGGGTAGTTCGCAAACTGTTTGATAAAAGTCCTGAAAGAGAGTCTAAAGAGTGAAATCCCATTTAAGTATGTTTTAGTTGGAGTATAATTCGGTGGATTGTGTGTGGATATTTAGGGTTCTGGTGAGGTTTTGTCTTTGCTTTCCAGCAACGTAGATTGGCTCATTTGCTGCCATGGGTAATGTGGTTTGACCTGCCCTTTTTTTTACAAGTGATATTATCTACACTAAGGGGGTGGGGGTGGGCTTAGCCTCACAATGAGTTAGCAATAATGTGGTTTAAATTCACCTTTGGCAAGAATTGAACCTAAGACCTCTCACTTATAAGTGAACAAAAAAAAAATCACTAGACCGTAATACTAAGTGGCTTTTGAACATGCTGTTTAACTTGTAGCCCTTTAAATTGGAAGTGTTCTTTTATTGTTATTATCATCATTAGTTGTATAGGTTAAGCGAAAGATGTGGTTTTTTCGGAGAATGCATGCAGTTTGGGTTTGTTTATGGACCAATATCACAGTTAGCCTCTATGATATTTTCATTCCATTTTTTCTGTCAAAACCTACTTAGAATTCCAACACAAAAGCGCATTGTTCTTACATTTGAATCAATTTCTTATGTTCAGGTAAAATCTGCTGCTCCTTTGACGAAAGAAGAGCTTGGAAGATCTACTTGGACTTTTCTTCACACTCTTGCTGCTCAGGTAAAGGAAATAGTTTGTATTAGTAATTGTTTTGCAATGTTTGACGAAGTATAATTGCCACATTACTTGCTAAAAAAAAACTGTTTGGCAGAAAATAACTTTTGTGTAACTGCTTCTTCTGCACTTGATCACAATGATATATTATGCTTCATGTAATTAAGTTGTTTAATGTGGATTAACTTCGGTAAGATTTTTTCAAAATTTTAGTATCCAGATAAACCGACAAGGCAACAGAAGAAGGATGTAAAGGAATTGGTATGTTACTCTCTACTCTCTCTCTCTCGTGCACACAATTAATTTCTGGCACTCCAGACTGAAGATTTATAAAAATATATGCACACTAAATCCTTAATTCTTTTGGACGGATTCTCGTCAGAATTCAAGGTAGGATGATGTAGACCGAAAAATGTTTGTCGTTTTGCAATTCAGTTTTTAAGTTTTCATTTGTAATACATGTCCTGTTTTTTTTTTTTTTCTACTTTGGAATATCACAAGGAGCCTTGAGATAATATATTGTTTACTGGTGAAACGGATATTACACAATGTGCAAGAACTGGAGTAGGCAGTCTGAGCAGCTCATGTTGGTTGCATTTACCATGCAGATGTCAATATTATCACGAATGTACCCCTGCAAGGAATGTGCAGATCACTTTCAAGAAATTCTGAGGTTCACAATTTCATCTTTTACTCATCATCTTCGTTCTTCTCTAGTGTCCCGTAGTTCTCAACGTCATAGGGTAATTTCGTATCAAATATCTAAATGTGAGATTCAAATGCTGCACTCGTACAATCTCCAGATGCTCGTTTAGTATACTTTTGAACTTATAGATGTATATTTGGTGCATGTTTGGCAGATCAAATCCTGTACAGGCTGGATCACATGCCGAGTTCTCCCAATGGCTATGTCATGTGCATAATACGGTTAACAGAAGGTACGTTCTGCAGAAATCTTCCACTGTTCTGGTTCTGTAATCTGAGAAGCCTGATAATGTTGTAAATTATATTCGTTGAGATCTAATATGTGGAGATATTGATACAGCGTTAACAAACCGATTTTCCCCTGTGAACGAGTTGATGCACGGTGGGGCAAGTTAGAGTGCGAACGGCGTGCTTGCGATCTGTTAGGAATTACCGGAAGTTTTGGTGACAACACATATTATTAAGTACTTTCTGGAGTAGATTTGAATGATTAGGGTTGATGCTATTCTTGCAGAAATCATTGATTGTAATCAACTTTCGTATAAAGAATTTCATGATTTGCAGATAATTTTTATATTGATATTCATAAGCAAAATCCTTCCTGCTATTATCATGCCGTGATGCGGAAAGAGTCAGACAAAGCGATATTCATCGAGCTTGATAACTTTACACGTCCAGATAAATTACAAGGTTTGTGTAATGAAGATCATCTGATACCATCTGCTCTTTCAAATAAGAAAACATAAGCAAACAAAACGAAGGTTGACTCTGAGAAGAGTACTGTGACATGCCCCGCCAGATATAAACACAGTTAGATTATGTCCCATGTCTGCTATTAAACCGTACGGAATGGTGGCGCCTCGCCGAATTTCAGAATGTAGGCAGTTTCATATACAGGCCGCAGTTGTGGGATCAGTTGCGCATCTAAATATGCATCACAGGAGAAACACCAGACAGATAGGTCACTGCACGAAATGTAAACCAAGACAGAAGAGGAGTTTGTAAGAAATTAGACTATATAGAAGTAAAGAAAAAGACTTGAGGATGCCTAAGAAGAAAGGATTGGTAATTGTACCTATAGCTGAGAGCAAGACAATGGTTAGACTGCTGGTAATGCTGGAGCATGTGCTTGTTCACAAAGCGGCTGCAGAGGACGTCCTTACAGCACAAACATAACCAGTTCTCATTGGGATGCTGGCATCTAGTATAAACGAAAATTGTTCCGCAGATGTAAGATGCTAGGCATGATTCAGGAATCAGGCACTCGGACAATGTAAAGCATAAAGAATCAACCGAAGCATTCTACAGATCTTTGTAATTCAACAACTCGAAGATTCTATTGAATTAGAAAACTTAAAATGTTCTTTCGTTTGAAGTTCTCTTTCAATCAATGGCACTTACAATAAACAGAAGCATAAAGAATGATTGCTTTCGAACTAGGCCAAGATTGCTTTCGATTCCTATCACAACTAAGCAACCACGGTACAAAAAAACAAATTGGTGATATGATCTTGTATGATGTACACAAACTACAGTTGATTTAAACTAGCAGATCGTTGTGCTGTAGATGAGGCACCTCGATCAGCACACTTCCAACAATTAGCTAGGAATAACAATGCAGTTCCCTCCGCCAACCGAAACAATTAGCTAAGAATAACGATGCAACTCCCTCCGCCAACCGAAACAATTAGCTAAGAATAACGATGCAACTCCCTCCGCTAACCGATAAAAAAAGAATGTAAGATTCCTTGTGGGTAAGAATTATATAACTTTTATCTTATTTTTGCAAATCTTATGACAATCAATAGTAGCATTCATCCATATGTTTCAGAAACACCATACAAATTGAGAAAGCAGACCCTCAACCTTAAGGAGATGGATTATGTATATGCTAAGTAAAAATATTCAGTGATCAAAAGCTGAATCAAGAACTGGGTAAGATTGGCACGAATCCAACAACACACAATTAAAAAAGATTTGAATGAATTGACCAAAAAAAGAAGAAGAAGAATTGAATAGGAACCTGTTGCAGGCAGTATCAGGAGTGGGAATGTGAGCGAGATCAGACGACAGGGAAGCAAGGTGATCGCAAGATGTTCGGGCCTCGACCCAACCCGATTCAGCTCCATAAAATAAATCTTCCTCGTTTTCTAGAAATTGGTCCTCCTGATTCACATAATTGACAATAACCCTTTGTTTTAAATTTCAAAATAATCAAGATTTCGGGTTCAGCCAAAGCGTAAAGTGATCGATTTTACCTGCGCAGAAGAAGAACCAGCTTGGGCTGCCATGGATGAACACCGAGAGAGTCTCACTCTGGACAAAGTTGAGGACTTCTGCAAAAATTTTACTCCCAGGCCGCGGTTTATGCATTACCTTGGGTTAATTACAAGGGAGCTGCTGGACTCACACTATATTATAATCCCACCCCATATCTGGGGTTAATTACAAAATTTTCATCCTATTTTTTCACCCATATTATAATCTCCCTCACTATAAAGGTTAAAAAATTGAAATGATATTTTCCCGCTCACAATTATTCCTCAAATAATCTCTAATATAAATCTAAAGTTATAAACTCGTCTCTTAGAAAAAAGAGTATAACAAATAATATATAAAATTAAAATAAAGGACATGATCATGAGAATTTCATCTGTTTCATCAAACACAAAAAAATTTACATAATTGTTTCATAATAACTGTAAACACGGAAAATTCCTGAAACGAAAGAGACAAGAACAACGTGCACAAACAAATATTTGTATTTTTTGATGATTTTGGGTTACAATCTCTCTCTAATTTGATCATCTGATTCGATCTCCGTAAGGTGTGTATTTGTGGATGTGCGATTGATCCAAGGGCCGTCGAGGTTTGATCTTGGATGAACGTTCTTTAAGGGTCGTGGGCTTGATCTTTGAGAGTGGATTTGAGCGGATCTTCAAGGGCTTTTGGGCTTGATCTTGAAGAGACGGTGATGAACAGATCTTCAAGGGCTTTTGGGCTTGATCTTGAAGAACGGTTGGATGTGTATGGATTTGTCGACGTTGTTGATCCAAAGGGCCGTTGGGGCTTGATCTTGGATGAACGGATGATGAACGATGGTGCTTTCTTCAAGGGTCGTCGGGCTTGATCTTGAAAGAGCGATGAACGAAGAACGAAGAACACTTTCTTCAAGGGCCGTCGGGGCTTGATCTTGAATTGGTGGATGATTGTTGATCCAAAGGGCCGTTGGGGCTTGATCTTGGATGAACGGATGAACGATGAACGAAGAACGAAGAACGAAGAACACTTTCTTCAAGGGCCGTCGGGGCTTGATCTTGAATTGGTGGATGATTGTTGATCCAAAGGGCCGTTGGGGCTTGATCTTGGGATGAACGATGAACGAAGAACGAATAGAGCTTTCTTGATTCTTCGGGAACCTGGATGCTTGAGAGCTTCGGAGTTTCAGAGCTTCAGAGCTTCAAGAATTTTGCATAATGATTTTGGTCCCTTCAAATGAATGAAATGGGCTTGTATTTATAGAATTTTCCAATGCCTAATTTTGAATATAATATCCCAGATGAAATAAGTCGTTTCTGCCAGGTGTTGACATGTGTCTTATTTGATGACTTTTCCAACTCATTTCAATTTTCGTTGAGTCACACGTTACGTGTAAAATTTATGTAATACATGAGCGTTGACACTTTGATTTATCGGTCAACATTTATTTACCGAAATTTCGATGTCTACAATAACATAAGAAAAATACATGATTGTTTCGTATTAAGAAAAAAGTTTTACATCACGTACTTTTTTTCCAGAGACCTAATACAAATTAAAGAAAACGTCTTGAAGCTTAAATTGCAAACAAGTCTTACAATAGATCAATCAACACATAGATAATTATAAATTGTGGACAAGCACCCCACCGACTTTAATTTTCATCAAGCTTCACGGTCTCTCTAGTTATGACAGTAAATCCTAGAATGGATATGAACTGTAGTATACGAGCAATGTACAGGGTAGTCCCTTCTAAAGACCATGGTTTACTATATCCTACCTTATTTGTGATAAATTCACTAGTAGAGTCCACTATATATGTAGATGCTAAATTAGTACCAGATTCATTTACCTGCAAGGAAAAAATGTAATAATAGGATTACATAAAAATAAAAAAGAATGAAAAAAGGAATAAGAACGACAACTTTGTTGATGAGTCCTGGTTGAAATGAGACTAATTTCCTAATTATCTTTGTTTTTTTCATACGGAGAAGTCTTCATTCAATTAAATTATCTAATCAATTTTGTAATCAAATTTCAATTGATTACCAACTTCAATGGAAAGGTAAATAAAATCTGTGCGAATAAGATTGTACTAATTTTTGTTTATTTTTCAAGATAAATATCATGAACATGCATAAGTAGACATGAAAAAGTTGAAATATATATATATATATATATATATATATATATGATTTTAAAATGTTTTTCTTACATCTTCAATGAAAACGACATATTCTACCTTTTCAATAGAAACATTGTTTCCTACGGAATTGGATCCTCTCCGAGGCAATGCCTCGAGATCCTCCTGACCAGACAATACGGACCATTGGATCAAAATCCAACGGCTACAAACAAGGTGGTCCGTCTAAAATTATAATTATTGTAGCTGTTGGATTTCCTACCTCTTTCATTGTTAAGCTGTCTTCTACCAATTCAATGAAAACATCATTTTCCATCTCTTCAATGGAAACATCATCTTATATCTCTTCCATGGAAACATCATCTTATATCTCTTCCATGGAAATGTCATCTTCTACCTCTTAATGAAACCGTCATGTTCTAAGTTCATTTTCTTTTTACTTTCTTTATGTGAAAGGAGATAGAAAGATGAGTTAGGGTTTAAGAGAAGATAAATCGTTTATGAATAAAGGGCTGGAGTTAGAATCTCGCCCAACCTTTTAATTTTTTTAAAAAGATAAAGCAAAAAGATGGCGGGAGTTAGAATTGCTCCTATCCTATTTTTATTATATATCTCGAAAGGTCTTTATCAGTCATTTTACAAATGGGTGAACTTGTAATTAAAAATTGTTACGCCCCAATCCCGACATACATCCAAGATCGACACGTGACGTCACCAAGTATCTGTAAATCCAACAAACCCCGCCTCCGAGATATGTACAAAGCATAATTCAAGATTCAAATTGCGTAGTAATTTTCATATACTTTATGGCTGCATCTAACCTCCTCGTTAGACTCCCCACGTACCCTAAAAAGGGATCAAGTCATTCGTAGTTCACCATTCACTACACTCTGATGTTTATCATAATACGTTCAAGTAGAAAAGCATAGCATTCCTCAATCATTTATTAGAACTCGACAACCACGAAATTACTAGATCTAAAGCTGCATAACAAACCCACATATGAAATTCCAGATTCTCATTCCATCCATCATATAAATCACTATGTTTTCAACATGATACCTCAATCCACAATGTGTAACATATCAAATAACCAACGAAGCATAGTATTATTCTCAAACCACATTGATTTACTAATCTATTCATAATAATAACAATCATATCCAACGTCACTCCACAATCACGTCAATTAATCAATTCCATGAATCAAAGATGCATGATATTAACGTCTGACTACATTAATCAATTAATGAAATAACATATCATTTCATGAATTTAATTAAAGAACTCTACATAATTCCCTACTTGGATTATAAGTAATAACATGGTAAATTTCATTTATATTCACAAGATCTAGTGTGGTTAATCCCCATTCACTCGAATCTAGGGTCGGACTAACTTTATGGAAATGAGCAAGAGTAGGGATTTCGGACCACTCAACGAATCCAACCAAAATATAATTGCCTATTGAAATGTACCAAGTACAACTAATCCTCATCACCCTTAGAATGTGTACGGTCCCCCATTGCGAATATACCAAGCAGAACCGTAGGCATAATCTCACCGTATAGGCAGTGATCACCCATCATGGATATACCAAGCATGATCACCCCTGAATACGTATGGTCCCCCATCGCAAATACACCAACCAAGACCACATCCTAATTCTAGGTAGTGATCACCCATCACAGATATACCAAGCATGATCACTCATAGGATACGTATAGTCCCTCATCGCAGATATACCAAGCATGATCACCCCTAACAGTCCCCTATTGTGGATATACCAAGCAAGACTGTATCCTATAGCTCTAGGTAGTGAACACCATTCGCAGATATACCAAGCATGATCGCTCATAGAATGCATATGGTCCCCCATCAAGGAAATACCAAACAGAACCATAAGCATAGTCTAATCGTGCATGCGGTGATCATCCATCGCGAATATACCAAGCATGATCACCCCTGAAATACGTATGGTCCCCTATCATGGATATACCAAGCAGGATCATCCATGTACCTCTGCTACATGGTGCAATTAGATTAACACACAATGCACTTACCTTTATCTTAACATCTATGATTTACATCGTAATCACTTACACTCTCAATTCCTGCTAATCACTAACTACCATGTCACACAAGCCTATATGTTCTACAGAACATTTCTAATAGGATTTTAGGCTCACAATGTCATAACAGTTAACATACATATCATTCATATTATCAAGAAGATAAATAAACACATATATAACACAATATGACGTCCCATACACGTAAACCGATGTATATACTATCTGGGATAACTCACTAACCAATATAGGCCCACTAAGTCCTACATAGTCTCTAGTAATATTTAAGATCAATTCATAGCATATTGACCAAAAGTCGAGTCTCTGTAAACAGTGGGATACACAACCCTATACAAGTCAATCTGGAACATTCGTCCATGGATTTCCGATCCGTAATTTCCCAAGGGTCTCATTTATCTTCTAGAACAATATTCTAAAATTTTGGAATGATCCAACAGTCGGATCTCCGCCAATTGCTAGAATTTGGTTGCTATCAACGTTTGGTTTAACAAACTTAGAAATTCAATTTGGGAAGATCCGTACATCGGATTCCTAATCTGTCAGTTCATATGGTCCTCAAATATTACATACTATAACGTATTAAGGTTTGGTAACGATCCAACGGTCAGATCATCGAATCATATAATGATCAAGTGGCGGTAATATTTAATACTAGATTCAAACTATCGAGCCACACCAAAGGGATATCAAAACTGAAATTAGAATGTTGAATTTTACTTAAAAAGGCAACAACGGCCCACTGACCATGCACCACCGCGGGTGGCGGTTTTCAGTGAACGGAAACCCCAAATTCCGACAAACTCTAAAATTCACCAAATTTTGCAAAAATGTACAACTCAATGAGAAGAACAATTTTTGTACCTGGGCCGAAGTCCATTTCGGCCGGGAAGACTCTTGAATTCACCTCGATCCGCCGAAACTCTA